GATGTTAAGGCCAGTGCACCCAATTCCAGTATAGCCATACATATAGACCCAGTGCATTCCCCCAGGTAAGACGGCTTGGGCGTGGGTGACGACAATCCTCCCACGTCCGACAGGCCCCACCCCGAGCTGCTCGTACGAAAGATGTCTGCTCGCAATATGACGTCAGACAGCGACTGCTACACCTGCCGAATTAGCTAGTTGGTGGTCTCCTGTGAGAACAGCAGGAGCATGATGGGAGTTGAGGCCTCGAAAACCTGCCCAAGACGTCGCCGAAGAAACAGGGTCTCCTGCCAATAGGCGCGCCTCCTGGACAGCAACGAAGTCAGGAACCTCACCCATGAGATGCATCCATTCCCAAACGTCCTGAAACCCGTTCCAGCTGTCAGGGCTGGTCGTGAAAAATCTCCAAACTTTGTCTTTGCTGTTTGGGGGCCTTGGGGCGCTGGCCTCTCCCAACACTCCTGCATGCAGGAAGAGACGAAAGGTCGGGATCAGCATTAGCACCTGGCGGAGCAGCCCGGTGCCACGTCGGCCGAAGCAAGGGGCCTGCAGCCGAGCTAGCAGGGTTCAACGTCCCCGCAGAGGAAGCAAACGTAGACGAAGCCGTTGCAGGAGCAGTAGTTGCACCCGCCAACGGAGGCGCACCAGCTGACCCAGTCGGTGCACCCGAAGCCGTCGCAGCTGAAGTGCCAGCATTGGAGGATGTCGAAGGTGCTGCTGCAGGTCGGCGTGTAGCACGGCGCGATTGTCCAGGTAGTGGCCCAAAAGGTGGTGCTGGTCCCTGACGGTGCTGGCCAGTGAACAAATTCCTCAAATATTCCCACTCATAGTTGTGCATACCAGCTGCCGCATACTGTTGATTGCTACTTAACTTGCGAAACCAGCGAAGGAAACTCTGACGACTACGCACTCCTTTACGCCAAGCACGAACACAAATCTCATGCGCTAGTTGCCAAGGCGTCTGCATACGCGCGCGCAGGGTCTTCGCAAACCTCGGGTGCGCAAGCTATTGCGCCAAAAACGCCTCGCACACATCATGAAATTCTGCCTCGTCTGCTGGCTGTTGTCCGATGCACGGGTCGTTGACCCATCGCTGTGCCCAGGCTCTGGCCGCACGTTCCAAGCAGGGCGCAGGCACAAAAACACGAGGCCCCGCTGCAGCCATACGCGAATCTGGCAAAGCTGCCAACCCGCCTCCCCCATACGCTGTTTCCCTCGCCTCCTGTGGAGAGGGTGCCCCAGGGGTAGGAAAGGCCGGTGGCGACGCATAGCGTTCTGACGCCCATGCCGATGACCCAGGAGACGAGGCGGTAGGTCCACTGGTTGCAATCGTCCAACGCACGGAGGACCCAGCACCGCAAGTACCCGAGCTGCTCGCGGTAATCCTCGCCGTCGTGGGTGGCCCAGCCGCCCCAGATGTCCCAACAGAGGCCGTAATCTGCGCCGCTCGTGTCTCCAGCCCAGGGGAGGCACATCCCTGGCCAGCTGGAGGTCTGGCAGCGACTCTACGATGGACTTGTGGCGTCTTCTGCTGGATACCACACACCGATCCTCCAGGGAGACTCGCGCCGTGGGCCAGCCACGGGGTCATCCCCTTCTCGGGAAAGGTGGGGCCAGTGAGTGCGCCGCACTGCGTAGATGCCGATCCACTCCTGGTACTGCAAGTAGAGATCGTGTAGAGGAGCCACAGGTAGTGGATGAGGGAGAGGTGTGTGTCCAGGGCAGCCAGGGGTTGTAGTCGTAGGTGACTCTGGTCTGCATCCCACCCAGACACTCTTCATAAGGTAGAGACGGCCAGGCATCATTATTCCAGTTGGTATCCCCGTCGCAGTAGTAACCTGCAAGACCAACTGATGCATGATGCTCTGGAAGGTATTGATCAGCACCCAAGGTTGCACTCAACGGAGTAGCAAGCAAAACCGAATGCTGGTAGTCGAAGCCATAGTAAATGTTACCCCTGCTGTGGAGGGCCTGTAGCAACGCACCCAGCAGCCAGCTTGGCCTTCGCGTCATTGACGATCGATGCAGAACGGCGTGCTGGCTTGCCAGCGGCTTTCTTGCTTGAGCCAGGTTCGGCTTCAGAAGCTGCAGGCGCACCAGGCGTAGACGGAGCAGCCTTGGGGTCAGCTGGGGTACCTGCTGCCTGACTGTCAGCAGCCTCAGTAGCCGCCTTAGCCTCGTCATCATTAGCTGCTGTACCTCCTGGCCCCGCCTCCTCTTGCTGCTCGCATCGTCGCTTCTTAGCTGCCACTCGCTGTTTAGCCAAGGTATGTTCATGCTTAAGCTCATCAGCTTTGGCCTCGACCTGCCCGAAACAGACGGTAGCCAATTCCCGAAACTTCTCCTGAAGGGCCTCTTTCCTCTTCTGGGCCTCCACCAGGTCCTCGGCCGAAACCAACTCCCCCAGCTCATCAAGTCCAAACAGGCCTCCGTCGTCGAGGTCCAGGGGCTTACCGTCCAGGATTGCAGCCAGGTCGAGACGAGGGGCAGCAGGAGCGTCGGCGCTGTCAGGCAGTTTGGTGCCCACCGACTTTGCAAGCTTCTGGACGGCCTGTTTATAGATGCTGCGGGCATCGCCCACTGCTTCCGAACAGGACTCGACTTGGTCCTGGGCCGTGACGAATTGTTCTTCCAACTTCTCGCAGTAGGTGATGGCCCTGCGGAGGGCCGCCTCCGCTTGCTCCAGCTTCTGCTTCGCCTGGCCGACGCTGATGTTCTCGATGGCCTTCTGCTGATTGAGCGAGTCCAGCTTCGACTGATACTTGGCTGCCATCTCCGCGTCACCATTGGCACGAAGGAGCGGGATGAGGTCTGCCAAACGTCCCTGCTCCTGCGAGTCACCATTGGGGCCTGGCCATGCCGATTCTTCCAACCTGAAACGTTGGGGTGATGTAGTGCCTGGCCGTGTGCCGTCAGCGAATGATACTGATGGGACTCGCCGCGTAGGGCCTGGCCCTGGGGAAGAGAGACTGCTGAGGCCTCACCCAATTGTGCATCACGTCGTATCCAGGGCGCGCGTCGCAGTGCATGACCACGATCAGCAGCAGGCCCAGGAGACCGACCAGGCCCACGCGGACGTTGAAGCACGACATCATCGGCAGCATGCATCGGCGCCTTACAGTGTTTGCACCATTTCCACCATCGCTTGTTACGTCCACAGCCACATTGCTCACACTTGGTCGCGGACGGACTCGAGAATCTATGGGCAGCGGCCGCTCGCACTGATGTGTCAGAGCGCTGCATGGCTGCGGCCGGGGCAAACTGAAGCAAACGCCAGACGGCGCCGTGCTGGACAATGGTCGCCACAAGGAATCAGCCTTGTGGTATGGGAAAGATGAAATGACTGCTCACGCCCTGGCTTGGCAGCCAACTGTGGGACGCGAGCTCAAGGAGCTGTCCTGGCCAGCTGCCTTGACAAATGTTTTACTTGAGCCAAAATGGCTTGAGCCAAAATGGCTACGGACCTCCTCCTCCTACTCCTCCTCCTCCTCCTCCTTCTCCTCCTCCTCCTTCTCCTCCTCCTCCTCCTCCTTCTCCTCCTCCTCCTCCTCCTCCTCTTCCTCCTCGAGGGCGGAGCTTGCTTCTGGCATCGCCAGCAGTCCTTCGGTGGTGCAAAGATGGGGTCCTGAGGGCCCAGCGTCGTGCCCCAAAAAAAAACACGACGGGAGGCTCTTCACTGTTTTCGGCCTCCGGGGGCCCTTACCAGGCCCCAGGACTGTCGAGCAACGACTCGGGATGAAAAACCGGTCCCGGCGAAAGGGTCAAGACCTCTGGGGGTCGACGTTGTGAAAAAATCATGACGTCGGGGGTCTGGGGGATGGGGCCCAAAGGACGAGGTGCCTCAAACAACCTATCACTCCACCCTCATGGGCCCCTTCCCATCCCTGGGGTCCCCATCCTTCAGGGCCCCCTCTTGGAACCACCGGCTCATGAGTAAAGGCCGAGCCCTCGTCTTGCAAGGCGCACGTGCGCATGTTGGGCTGCACCGCATGGCGGCTTATGCACCACGCGTGGGCTCAATCATCCCCGGTGCCACGACGTTGGGCCCATCGCCGTCACGGAGAGAAGCGCCAGCGGCAACCGAGACCGCCGACGGCATGGCCGCCCCGTCCCCCGAACAAGCGCCAGCCGAGAGACATCTGCAGGACGGGTCCAGTAGCTTGGAAACCACAAAGCCGCTGTGAAGCGGACGTGAAGAATGTACTGTCAGAACGCACGCGCTGTCACGCTGGCTGGCGGAGCACGTGCGGGAGGAGCGAGGAATGACGGAGGAGCGCACGCGCTGTCACGCTGGCTGGCGGAGCACGTGCAGAAGGGACTAGGAATGCCCGAGGACTGAGAGCAAGTTGATTACCTTGAAACAGAATTCGCTCACTGTTACGCCAGGTGGCGGAGCACTTCCAGGAAGAACGAGGAATGATGGAGGAAGGAGAGAAAGCTGCCTTGAAATGGTATGCATTCGCTGTCACGCCAGCTGGCGGAGCACGTGCAGGACGAACAAGGGGTAACGGACCACGGAGGTAAGACTGCCTTGAAACAGCATGCACGCGATGCTGTCAAGACCAATGGTGGAGCACGTCCGGAAGGGACGAGGAACGACAGAGGCTGGATGCGTAAGGACATGCTGCCAATAGTCAGGCGAACTGGTGCTTCTCGACACCCTATGCGCTACGGCACTGTCGCGAAACAGTGAGCAGTGTTTCGCGACAGTGCTGTAGAACGCGCGCCTGTTCTGCGGCAGAGCAGCACCCAAAAGTAAAAAGCCCCCCGGGCCCTCCATCCCATGCCCCCTACTCCTCTAACTCCCATCCCCCTCTCCTCACAGGCGGATGCGCACTTGAAACTTCCTCGAAACCAGACCGGTCGCTCCGCGCCGGCGTGGAAATCGGCCTGCCTGGTATTTCCGAAGAGCTCAGACGGGGCTTCGGCGGACTTGACGCTGACCTGTGCAATTGTTGTCCCCCATTCTTCCCCCCCCCTCCTCCACCCATCCTTCCCAGCCCCCCTCATAGAGCCGCGCCTGAGCTTATACAGCTTACGTGCGGGGTCTTACAAAGAATAACACACCGGCGGATGTGGGCCTTGTCAGTTTGCGATCACTGTCAGGCGTTGCGGGTGTGGACCCTACAAGCCGACACTGCCATTCTCATTTGGAGGTCGCTGTCAGACTTGGCGGGCGTGAACCCTACTAGCGTGTGTGAACCTCCTCAGCCTGAGACCGCTGTCCGACGCGACGGTTGTGACGCTACCAGCAGATGCGGGCCAGTCTGAAGCTATCGGGAACCACTAAGTCGATTCCTCGCATATGTGATGGCAATTGTTTGTCACAGTGAGCAAGCAGTCAACAAGACTAAATACGTGAAGCCTCTGACCCACGATAGCGCATTGGCGCGCGGACGCGTGACATCGGTCACGAAGAGGAGCAAAAATGTTGAGACGACGATGGCAATGGCAGCCGAAGAGAGGTACCCAATCAACCCTCTCCTCATCAATCGATGTTCATGCGACCATGCCCTGCCTCTCCCTGTACCACTCGCTCGGGTTTCCCCAGGTGCCCGCTGCGCCGTGCAAATGCGGCAGCATTCGATGATACCGCTTGGCAGAAGCGGCGGATGCTCCGTGCGCGCGCGCTTTATCAGCTGCTGCTGGCAAGCCAAGGATGGCGGGCCGCGGGCGACTCACATGGTCAGGTGGCGCCTCTGCCTCGCGGCTGGCCCTGGGAAGGCCTGCGCGCCCTGCTGCCTGGCCTGACGCTGGCTCGAACCAGCCGTCTAGAGCATTGCCGGCTTGGGGGACTGCTGCACGTGGCACTCGCCCGCGGACGTCTGTGGACGAGCGCCCGAAGAGGCCGAGAAGAACCTGCCCGGCGGCATCGGCAGCGCTGGCTGGGGGCCGGCTCCTTTTGCGAGGCCGCCGAATTGCGGAGGCGCTGCTGGGAGCCCAGTGGCTGGCGGGGCAGCAGGCGGTGTCGTTGCCGGGATGCAGGGGTCGGGGTCGCTCTTGCTGATGACGAGTCGGCGGAAATTGGGATTCCGAATGGCCCCAGCGGTCTGCAGCATCGCCATGTTGGCCTCGTACCCCTGGATGTGCGCAGCAGTCACCTGCAGGGAGCGGCTGTCGGGATGGTCTGGGAATCGCTGGCGCCCGTGCCACATGCTCTTGAAGCACCTCGCAGCGGTCGGAGTCTTGAAGTTCACGAACAGGTACCCCTTGTTGTGGCTGGAGTCGAAGTCGCACGGCAGGTAGCAGAAATCATAAGTGCCCTTGAAGCCAGACCTGTCCAGCTCGCTCACCACCTCGGCCTGCTTGCACCCGACCGGCACGTTGCGCACCATCACCTGAGGGGTAGCGAGGAGGAGGGGAGGGAGGCGGAGGAGGGGGAGGAGGAGGAGGAGGAGGAGGAGGCGGAGGAGGAGGAGGAGGAGGAGGAGGAGGAGGAGGCAGGAGGAGGAGGAGGAGGCGGGAGGAGGAGAGGAGGGAGGAGAGGAGGAGGAGGAGGAGGAAGGGGGGCATCGACGTGAAATCGGCGACAAATCGCCGACGGATCGGCGATGGCCCGCCCCCAGATCGCGACACCACACATGCCTGGGCGGGGTGGGCCAACTCGGGACCACCTTGGCGAGGAGTGGGAAGGCGGGGGCCGACGCATCGCTGCTGAGCACCTTCCCCCCCTCCAGCGTTGCCCCCGATCACCGTGGTGATGCTCGCGGGGTCGCTCGTGCCCGCGAGGTCCTTGATCATGTTGGCTCTGATCTGGGGGAACGAGAAGTGGCACAAACATGAGACAGCTCGGGGGCCCGCGCGGACTTCTCGGAGCCGCGCGGGGGCCCCCCTCCCTGGCGCGCGGAGCGCGCCGGGGGCGGCGCCGGAGGCGCCGCTGGGGGGCCCCAGCGCGGATCCGAGAGGTCCGCGCGGACCCCCGAGCTCTTCTGTGTGTGCCATTGTTCGCTCCCCTGTGCTCAGGCGCTTCTTGCGGCCCCGGCGCGTGGAGCCCTGCGCGGCGGCGGGCAGCCGCGGCGGTTCCCCCGCACGGGCGGGACCCCGCGGCGCGCCGGGGCCCTCGCCGCCGGGAAGACCCTGCTGTGTGCCCGCGGCCTGGCGCCAGGTGTCGCGGACCGCGGTGTAGTCGCCGAACTCGCTGTCGGTGTCGGGATAGGTGACCACGTTGGACTCACCATTTTCCTCGTCATCATCAGCGGCATCATCATTGCCATAACCATCATCATCATCATCATCATCATCATCATCATCATCATCATCATCATCATCATCATCATCATCATAATCATCATCATCATCATTCATCACTCAGCATCCTCATCATCACCATCATCATCACCGTCATCATCATCATCATCATCCGCGGCCTGGGGCTCGGTGATCCAGTCGCACGGCTCCTCGCCCGTCGCGGCCTTCGTGGCAAGCCGCCCGGAGGACATCGGCGACGGCAATGCCTGCGCGAAGCGCGATCTGCCGGCGTGATCTTGGAGCGGCGCGCGCGACTTGAAGAGCCAGAGCTTTAGCCAGAATGGGCACGGCGAGGCTGGAGTTCTTGTAGATCCACCGTTTCGAGAACCGATGTTGCAGGATCCGAGGGGGCGGTGGATAAGGAAGCATTTCCCCCCCTCCCTCCGACGGTCATGACGTCGACATGGTGCCAAGGCGATCAATATCGACATAATACCTCGGGCGCACATCATGCTTATGTATCGGTGCCCAGAGAGGTATCGCCGATGCCCATTCTAAGGCGCGGCAGAACTGTGCACACTTGATGTTACATGTGGTGGGCAGCCTACTGTGAAAACAAATGCTTGGCGCAGATACAAATTTCATTGCAACGGGACAAACAAATCCCACTTGACGCCCTCAACGACCGAACGATGGCGCGGAGGAGGAGAAGTGTGCAGGCTCGGGGCAGAGAGATGATAATACTATGTAACTCTGACGGGCGGGGGGCGCGCGCGGTTGCGATGGGGCAGGTTGGCAAGTCCTGCCAGTACTTCGGGGCGTGCAGGTTCTACTCCTTACTGATTCCAACCTCACTGTTTCTACTTCAAGGAGATGTCTGCTTCCCTCTCCCCCCCCCTGGGTCTGAAGGGGTGGCGCCACGAGGGGTTGGAGCGTCCAAAGAGGCCCCACGACCGCCCCAAGACGGCTTCACGTGGCCACGGGGCCTGGCAAGTAGCTGTCGGGATAGGGATGGTAGGAGGAGGAGGAAGAGGAGGAGGACGACGAGGAGGAGGAGGACGAGGAGGATGAGGAGCACGAGGAGACGAAGGAGGAGGAGGAGGAGGAGGAGGAGGAGGAGGAGAAGGAGGAGGAGGAGGAGGAGGAGGAGGAGGAGGGGGCGATCGCCCCCTCCCGAGCCCCGCGCTCGCCATTCGCGGCTTCGCTCCCGGCCCCCGGCGCCCCTCGCCCGGCAGGGCTGCGCATTGCGCCCTCAGGGGGGGAGGTGGGCCCGGGTGCCCGCCTCGCTGGCTCGGTCGCCGACGGCGCGGGAGCCGCGCCACTCAGCCCTTGACCGAACGGCCACCATCCGTTGGCCCGGCTCGTCAGCACCCCGCCGATGAGGATCACCGCGGCGTGCGCCACGAGCCCCCAGGGCCCCATCGCCGCGCGGCCCTTTTCCCCCTGAGCGCGAGCGTGCTGGCACAACCCTAGGTCTCGGCACTTAGCGGCTGCAGAGACCAAAATGGGGAACCTCAGAACCCCCACTCCCGCCGCACAGAACCTGCAGTTTCAACAGACAGACTATACAAGCCGAGCGGTGTGGCAAGAGCTCTGCCAATTTATCGGGCCATGTGTTCTCCCAACCGTTGCGGAAACCCTTCGGGGAACACTTGGGGGAGGATGGCGGCCAAGATCAGGAGGAGGAGGAGGAGGAGGAGGAGAAGGAGGAGAGGAGGAGGAGAAGAGGAGGAGAAGGAGGAGGAAAGGGCATCTTGGGAGCCTCTAGAGGCACTCTTGGGCCCTTCTGGGAGCTTCCTGGGAGCCTCTTGGAAGCATCTTGGGGGCCTGCTTGGGCCTCTTGGGGGCCTTTGGGGGTTTCTCTGTGACCTCTCTGGTCGTCTCGGGGCATTATTGGCCTGTCGGACGCCGTCGAAAGCTGTTTCAAGGGCCTCTATGGGCCGATTCGAAACCGTCCTGGGGTGTTCCAGGGCAGTCTTGGAGGCCGTCGCGGGCGTCTTGGACGCCTCTTGGGCCGTCTGGGGGCCCTCTTGGGGGCGGCGTGGGGGCCTCTCGGGCCGTTCTGGCGCCATCTTGGAGGCCTCTTGGGCGATCTTTCGGGGCGCTTGGGCCGTAGGCCGAAAAGAAAGACATGCCATAATCCTTCAAAAATCTTGATACGCCATAGAATCCGATATAATAGAACATAATCATATATAAAACCATATGGTATAATTCAACATAACAGTATACACGACACTATAATACAAGGAACATAATATAACATACAATACTTATATAAATGAGTATAACATGCTATCACATTACATGGTACGCCATGCTGTAATTTACTCTATACTACAATAAGTCACACGCTACTGCAATACAGTACGGCCTGGTGTAATAATCTACTGTATGAGTTAATGCATTGTAGTATCATAACGTACAACCCATTAACTTATAACACTATGTAATATACTAGAATATGATATAGCAACATTCAACCTACACTACGTTATACCAATGATAGGTGGCACAAATGTATCATGGCATGATCTTATATACTAGAAAGTACTACAATACGCTATAATACGATATACTATAATGCAAGCTAATAAGATTCCATGCGATATAATATAATATGCCATACTATAATCTCTTATAATGCGATATGCTGCCATACAGAAAATGGAATATATGTAATACAATGAAATATCATATAACATCAAACCATATATCACAACACGATATGATATAGTACGGTGTGAAATGATATCATACATTTTAATATCGTGTAATATGGTATAACATACCACAATGTAATACAATGCAGTATGATACACATCTATGTCTATATATATATATGAGTATATATATATATATAGCTACATGTGCATACATTGTACTATATTATATTATATTATATTATATTATATTATATTATATTATATTATATTATATTATATTCTATTATATTATATTATAGTAGATCATATTATAATATATTATATAATATCATATATTTTATTATAGTATATTAGAATATAATATAATATAACAGATTAAAGTATATAATAGTATAGTATAATGGATATATTATATTATATTTTATTACAGTATATTGTCTTACAATGTATTATATTATATTATCTTATATTATAGAATGTTAAATATAAATGTATATATCGATTTGTATACATTTATATCGATAGAAATGAGTTTGGTGTCTTCGGGCAGGGGCCTTCCTGGGGGCCCTCTTGGAGGCCTCTTGGGACCTCTTGGGGACCTATTGGGGGCCTCTTGGGCCGTCTTAGGCCATCTTAGAACCATCTTGGGCCGTCTTGGTAGGCTCCTGGCCCGTCTGACGCCGTCGGAAGCTGCCTTGGGGGCCTCTCTGGGCCGACAAGGGGCCCTCATGGGATAATCCAGGGCCGTCTTGGAGGCCGTCTTGGGCGTCCTGGAGGCCTCTTGGGCCGTCTTGGGGCCCTCCTGGGCTGTCTTGGGGGCCTCTTGGGCCGTTCTGGCGCCACCTTGGAGGCCTCTTGGGCGATCTTGAGGCCATATTTGGGTGCTCTTGGGACGTCTGGGGCCGTCGGAAGGCCGAAAAGAAGCAAATACCATAACCCTTCAAAAACAAAAAAAGATGTTGGCCTCTTCGGGCCTTCCTGAAAGCCCTTTTGTAGGCCTCCTGGGTCGTCTTAGGCCATCTTACAACCATCTTAGGCTGTCTTGGTGGGCTTATGGCCCGTCTGACGCCGTCGGAAGCTGTCGGGGGCCTCTCTGGGCCGACAGGACGCCCTCTTGGGGTGCTCCAGGGCCGTCTTGTAAGCTTTTGGGCGCTTTGGAGGCCTCTTGGGCCGTCTTGGGGCCCCCCTGGGCCGGTCTTGGGGTCCTCTTGGGCCTTTCTGGGGCCATCTTGGAGGCACCTGGAGGCATCTGGTGCAATCTTGGGGCGATCTTTGGAGCTCTTGGGCCGTGTCGGGCCGTCGAAAAACCGAAAAGAAGCAAATCCGAAAATCCTTCAAAAACCATATGAAAATCAATGATTTTGGTCTCTTCGGGCCTTCTTGAAAGCCTCTTGGGGGCCTCTTGGGCCGTCTTGGGCCATCTTGAGGCCATCTTAGGTCGTCATGGTTGCATCTTGGGCCGTTTTGGAGGCATCTCGGGGCCATCTTAGCCGTCGTGGAGGCCATCTTGGCCATCTTGGAGGCATCTTGGAGGTCATCTTGGGCCATCTTGAAAGCCATCTTGAGCCGTCTTGGGGAAACACTTGGAACATTTTGCGCTTTGCGGTCCTTTCCGGGTGGCTGGCGGGCTGGGCCGGAGCCCCTTGGGCAGAGCTCTTGTGGAAGAAGAGCCCAGACCAGAAACGGCAGCGGCTAGCACGCTGGGCACCCCTGTGACCAGCCAACAGGGGGCGGCGGTTTCACATGCACTCGGCCCACACAGCCCCAGGCCGGCCTTATGCTTCTCTTCCTCCTCGTTGTCCTCATGCTCCTCCTCGCTATCCTCACGTTCGCCACGTCGTCCTCGTCATCGACTCCTCGTTGTCCTCGCCTTCATTTTCTTCTTCGCCCAATACGCCCATTTGGCTACAGCGGCGCTTCCCGTTCTCGTCCGATCAGGTTCACATGCACTCGGCCCACACAGCCCCAGGCCGGAGCCCGAGAAAAGCGGCGGCGGCTCGCGAGGTGCCCCGAAGGTACAGCGTGAGGGGCCGATAAAGGGCGCAGCCTGCGCCCGGCGGCAGCGAGGGGGGAGGCGGGCCGGCGGCAGGCGGGGAGGCGGCGAGAGGAGGGCGGTGCACGGCTGCTGTCGGGGATCTGCAGTCGGGCTTGAGTGGAGAGGACACGCGAGAGGACACGAGACCCTTTCGAGGGCCACATCGCCACAGAAGTGCAGGAAGCATGGATCGCGAGAGACAGGACCCAAGGGTGCCCTTGATTTGGTAGGGTGGACCTGCTAATCTGGGCCGACTGTACTGGCCCTGGTCAATCCAGGCCCCCGTCGGTCAGGCCCGCCCCATCTCACTTCCCCCTCGCTCGCCGCCGAAGGACGATGTTCAATTTCGGTCACGATTTCGGTCACGCCACGTTTTCGGTCACCGATTTTTGTTTGCTGTTCGGTCACCTACCTCCTTCGGCTGCGGGGGGCCCGAGGCAGAACAGCCGCGGGGAGGGCGTCGAACGAAAGCCGCGGGTTACGCAGCCAAATAACCACCACTAGAGGGGCCCAGAGACACACAAATTCGCAGGCCCAACGGGCCAGAGGCGTGCTAAGATCTCCGGTAACAGGTTAACAGTATTTCTAGTTCGCGCGCGCGTGGCGGCCCCTGGGGAACCCTGGACGAAAAGTACCCCGGC